TGAATGAATGAAAGTTGAGGTACTCGTTTTTGAAGGCATTTATATGGAAGGTTGTAGGATTTATCTCCCCTTCCATTTTCTTAACACTGTTCCAAGCTTCTGAACCTTGTATTTGAGGAGGATTGATGGGGCCCCCAGGTCAAGAGTGGACCTTCCTGATCACGACCCCATCAATGGATCCCCTCTCCCCGCGGCCTTCATGGTCTGTTTAGGACAAACACAGTACCCAAGTCAGGCCAGTAGGAGGCCAAAGAGGCCGGTGAGACTAATTTGGGAGTTTTCTTTAAGCTGTTGAGCAGGTTGAGTCTCTCTTTTCTTCTGGATTTGCACCTGGAAGTAGGCCCAGTTTCTTGAAACAAATCCTATGGTAATGGAACCAATAAATGGAGAGCAAGCATCCAGGATTCATTTACTTTATATAGGCACTGGGTGAAGCCTTTTCCAAAGGCTTGACCTCTGGACTTGAAGCTATGTTCACCTATAAATTCTCCTTATTAAATCCACTTGAGTTTGTTTTCTGTTTCTTGCTACAGAAATGTTATTAGTTAATATAAGCTTATGCGATTTGCAGGAAGTTGAAACACAATATGTATTTACAGAGCTTTCTGAACTCCCAAACCAATATTTAACCAAAAGACCATTTTCCTTGTAATATCGCCAGTAAGGCAGAGTTGTATCCTTGAACACAATGCATTTGTATAAAAGCAATTAAGCTGTGGTCATACAGTGAGTCCCGAGTCAGTTGCAACACAATAATTAGTTCAAGGAACTTCAATTCCCACGCCCCTGGAGACATTATCAAGTCTCTTAGGAAATACTGTTGAGATATTGCCTAAAGTGATATTTAAATTTTCCCTCATGTTCCTCTTAGTCAGATTCTGACAGATAGTTCCTGCTTAAAAGAACACAATTCCTTTCCACTAAAAGTAAAACATCGAACTGAAAGGAAAAGAGCTTTTTAAAATAAATAATGTCAGTTATTTATTAAATACTATCAGAGAATGCAGTCCTGGCAAGGAGAAAACTGGGTTCAAGTTTTGAATTGCTCCAGCTTTGCCCTAGGAGTTGTCTGGCAAACCACACCAGAAACCCATAGCTTATTTGAATAGAGGGAAATGAGTCCTGATCACTCTTTGTGAGATATCTTTGTTCAAATACAGATGGAATATGAAAAGATAGGACCTGCTATTCTTTTGTACCACATTTCTTTATTCATAGAAGGATGTCCTAGACTTCAGGATATGGCAAGTATTTTGTTTACCATCGTTATTCCTGACCTCTGAAGGGCAACATTTTTTTATTTACAGCATTTCTGGAGAATCCATCTAGGCTTACAAAAAGCCCATTTTAAACTAATTTATTAGGTTTTTTTTTTTTCAACACTGATATTTTTTATAGCGGGTTTCTGAGTTAAGAAACCTGCACAGCATAAAAGAAGGTCTCACTAGGAGCTGGCACTCTTTATTCATTATGGATCTCACTGACTTTCTCCGTGGGCTAAAGTTCTCAGGCCTCTGTGAACGGAGGAGCTTCGACCAGCTGATCTCCAGGTTCTCTTCCCTAGAGATATTGGAGTCTATAAGCAGTATACAGTACTTACCTTACTATAATATCAAGAACTACAATTTGAAATGGCACGTTCTCTATAGTTTTTAGTCCTCTATGGTAACAGTCAGAAATAAATTGTCAGGTTTAGAATGACAATGCTCATGAAGGATTCTTGATTGGGAAATCAAATACCTCAAATGTATCGGGACCATGAGTTTTCTTCTTTTTTAAAGGCCTAGAGCAAAGTTTTGAGAATCAGATACTATCAAGCTTACTGTAATATGACTCAGTGTGACTCATTGTTTGTAAGTTCTTTTGCCCTTGTGCAAGGAAATTCTTTTTGTTCCCTCTTTAGGTAGTACTATTCATGAAAGATTAGAAATATTGTAGTATGGATTACTTCAGCATATTATATGTCCAAGGGGCCTGATCATTTAATGGATGGCTTCATGTGACATCCTTTTAGTTTCAAATTTGAATTAAATTAGCAGGCTGCTTTGTAACAGACATATCAAACAAAAGTATATCAAAACTCACTGGAGACTGATTAATGGCCTAGCCCTTTCTATGACTGAAAAGAGTTCTGGCCGTGGCCAGGTAGCTCAGTTAGAGCATAGTCCCAATACACCAAGGTTGCAGGTTTGATTCCCGTTCAGGGCACATACAAGAAGCAACCAATGAGTGCATAAATAAGTGGAACAACAAATCCCTGTTTCTCTCTCTCTCTCTTCCTCTCCCTCTAAAATTAATAACCTTTAAAAAAATAGTTTTGTAGGGAAAGGGAGGTGAGGGGAAGTAGAAGAGGATAAAGGGAGGATAAATGATGATGGAAGGAGACTTGACTTGGGATGGTGAACACACAATACAACATACAGATGATGTATTATAGAATTGTACACCTGAAACCTATATACATTTATTAACCAATGTCACACCAATAAATTTAAAAATAATAGTTTCGTGTTTTTGACAGAGTTCTATGGGATTAAAAACATTTTTTTAATCCTCTCTGGAAGATATTTTTTCATTGATTTTTAGAGAGAGTGGAAGGGAGGGAGAGAGACAGAGAGAGAGAAACATCAATGTGAATTGGTTGCCTCCCACATGCACCCCAACCAGGGCCAGGGATCAAGACTGCAACCCAGGTACATGCCCTTGATGGAAAATGAACCTGGGACCCTTCAGTCCGTGGGCCATGCTCTATCCACTGAGCCAAACTGGTTAGGGCAGTCTACAACATTTAAATTTTGTTCTATAGACAATAAAAATAAATAAAGTGGGGGGAAAATTTGTTCTATAAATACTCATTCAGTTGATTCTAAGTATTTGAAAGCCAATACACTGCAATTATACTATTTTGATTATGTAAAGAGTATTCACTGTTGAACAAAATGCATCAGTTAGCATAGAAAAGGTAAATCTATACTGCTAACTTCGTGCCAGTAGATAAGGATGCTCCAAACATCAAGCTCAAATAATGACATCTTCCAACACTTTATTAATTGCTCAAAATAATACCACATTTTAGTTTGCTTTATATTTGAAACATAGTTTTCTGATGTTTTCTATTGCTTTCCATTTTCCTTCTTAACAAAAGTGTATGCCTTCACCATATGACTAAATTTATCCAGGACCTTAATCCCTGTCTCTGTGGCATGGAATCAACTTTCTGCTTGAAGACATTCTTGTCCATTCAAAACTAGTTGCTCCCTTGCCTTGCTGTACAGCTGTCATTCTAGGCCATGGATGGGGAATGTCCCGCCCGCAAGCAAGGCCCTCGAAATCATTTGGTCTGGCCCTGCCAGGGCATTAGGGGTGAGTTAATTAAATGTTTGACCGGTGACCTTCTGGTGCTTGGGACGATGCTCAACCAACTGAACCACACTGGCTGGGGTCAAAACATTGGTTATTTAACTTAAAATTATCAATAATGCAAGTGTCTGAGCCTTAGCTGGTTTGGCTCAGTGGACAGAACATCAGCCTGTGGAATTCCGGGTTCGATTCCAGTCAAGGGCATGTACCTCGGTTTAGCAGGCTTCTCCCCAGCAGGGCCTGTGCAGGAGGCAACCAATCGATGTGTTTCTCACACATCATATTTCTCTCTGTCTTTCCCTCTCTCCCTAAAAATCAATGGGAAATATCCTACTGGTGAGGATTAAAAAATAAATAAATTCATTAACTAATAATAATACTGCAAATGTCTGCTCTTTAATCTCCCATCCAAGTACTAACCAGACCTGACCCTGCTTAGCTTCCGAGATCAGACGTGTTCAGGGTGGTATGGCCGTAGACTCTGCTCTCTAAAGGATATAGAGAAGCTGTTTGTTAAAGGATTAGTAAAAAATATGTATTAAGAACAATGTGTGGAAAAATACATTTTCTGTGGAGAGGAGTCTGTATTCATGACTGTGTTTCTCAGGTACAATAACATGCCTACATAATCATAGCTGCTGCTTGTGAGGAAGGACATCTTTTTTTAAAAAAAAAAACACCCACATTTTTATTGATTTCAGAGAGGAAGGTAAAGGGAGAGAGAATCATTGATTGGCTGCTTCCTGCACACCCCCTACTGGGGATCAAGCCCACAACCCGGGCATGTGCCCTTGACCTGAATTGAACCTGGGACCCTTCAGTCCGCAGACCGACGCTCTATCCACTGAGCCAAACCAGTCAGGGCTCAATCGTTGTACTGTTGACATTTGGCTCTGTTGACTGAGTTTGCCGACCACTGCTCTAAGGACATCTTAATATCTCTTCTCTGAGAGACAAATAATAGCCTTTTAGTGATTCAGTACCATAGTCACATCAGTTATAACACCAGGTAAGAAATAAGATGCTGCTATAAGAACTGAAATACTTTTATCTGTACACGAGAGTTTGAACTTCAGGAATAAACTAAGAGTTTTAGCAAAGTAAGAGTCCTAATATCTTATTTGTGCCCAAAGAAAGTAGAAAATGTATTCTGCTTGCTGGAGAGTACACTCAATCACTGGCCAACAACAGTTTCTTTCATTCGGCCTCCTCAGTGTTATGAAATTTCCCCAGAGCTCTGCCATCATTCACTGCAGAGATAGTGGAGATAGGCAAAGAAAGAAATGATATTAAGCAAGTGGTACAGGGCCTAGGACTTAAGTATGTATAAATGGTTGTTGCTATTATTACAGTGGGATTCATAGGTATCCTCCACCGGTAGGATAGCCAGATTTAGCAAATAAATATACAGAGTATCCAATTAAATTTGAATTTGAGATGGACAAGAATAATTTTTTTAGTCTAAGGATGTTTCAGATATTGCATGGAGTATACTTACACTAAAAGTTATATTAAATTCCATTATCTACTGGCAAAGTAATTTCTCTTTTAGTGGAGGAGGCCTCTCACAGGTAATGGCTGAGAGAGAATGTGCAGAGGAGAGAGTCACAAAGGATTCTACTTCTTAACAATGCCAGATGTGTCCCTGGGGGGCTCGAACCAACAACCTTTCGATTAACAGCCTCACGCACTAACCAGCTGGGCCACAGAGGCCACTATCATTTCTTTTTTTAAAGGGAGATGTAGGTATAATGAAATAAAACTGTAGGGAATAAAGCTCTGATTAAATTTTATATTAAATCTGCTCAGACTTCAGAGTCCACTATCCCCTGATAAGCTCGGTATTTTCTCTTCAGGTATCAGATATCAGACACAGATAGTTCCCATGTTTTGGAGAATATAAAATTTTCTCCAAACTGAAATCTGTTGGATCTAGTTACTATATTAAGTTAGACACGGGTTTTGAAATTACTGAATTATATTTTTAGTTAAATCCTTATTTGGAAAACGACAAATCACTAAATAATGAATCATATTGATCACCACTAAAAATATGCAAATTACAAATGTCTGACAGCATTCAATATCTTTGAAACACTATTTCATGTTCTTGCTTGTGTGCCAAGTAATTATTTCTCAGTGTGTTTATTAGTGCACACACACACCCCCAAAGTAAATAAAGCAGATGGGTTTTGTATTTTATTCCTAACAGACTGCATCTTCCCGCTTACCAAAAACTAAAAGGCCTAGTATCAACTGTATCAATGTTAGCTTTCTTCTAATTTCATGCCAGTTTTTACAAAATGCTTCTACAAATCTTCTGATGTCACTGGCTAAAAAGTAACTGGATTTTGGTTATTCCCCAAATTATTAAATTTAGCTCTCCTAATTCCGGGGATTGGGGGAGGGAGGAGAATCACTTTATAATATTGTGTTCTCTCTCTTTTCCTTTTGTGGGAGACGTAATTCCCAATCCCTAGTTTTGATAAGCCAAGTGAGGAAACGAGAAATGTCCGAAGTCCTCTAGCATTTGCAGGCTGCGCACGTTTCTAGATGGAGGAGAAGGCACCATTCCAAACATGACGATGTGTGCTACCTTGCTTCATTCGTACTTTTTTTTTTTAATTTGCTAGTATAGAAAAACAAAACTCAGAGGCAGCGCTGCATTTTTCCTTTTCCCAAAACCTGCACCTTTCTGCCCCAACTCCTGAAGCCTTTCCATCCGGTCACCACCGGCCGTCGCGGGGCACGGTGCTCGTCAGCTCCGCCTCGCGACGGCAGAGGCGGACTGCACCCGCCGCTCCGACCGCGGGGAGCATCCACGGCCGCGGAAAACCGGGGAAGCCGGGCACGTTCCCTAGGCATCAACACTAGACGGAGAACGGACTTCCTGTTGACTGCGTCTCCGTGTCTGGGAAAGTAGGTGCCGTATGCTGACTTCCGTGATCGGTTCTGGAGGAGAAAACGGCACTCCGTTTAGTGAAGACTGGCATCGTTGGAGTGAAATTCCCACCACCCAGCCGTCGGAAGAGCCACGGACGGCCCTTCTCGGAGCAGCAGGACATGTACAATACGCTGGTCTGTCCGAGCAGCCGGCCTTAGTCACGTCACAGAGCCCAGAGGGGAGCGCCCGGAGACGGCGGGAGAGGCGCGGGGGAGCGCGAGGCCGAGTCCCCGGCCGGGCGAGGGCGTCCCGGGCAGAGGCGAGCCGTTTCCGCGCCGGCTTCTCCCGCTGCCGCCGCGGGCACGATGCCGCGAGGACGGCGGCCCCAGCGTCTCCCCCGACTCCTCCTCCTCCCGAGAAACGGGCGAGTGGGGGACGCCACCTTTGGCTCCTCGTTACAAAGGTGCTGCTTATGAAGCCTTGGAGATTTCTCAAGCCGCTCTGCGTAACTTCCCCATTCGCCGGCCGGAGCGGAGGGAGCCCGAAGCCTTCCCGGGCCAGGCCCGGAATCACTGAGCGGGGCGGGGCGGGGCGGGGCGGCGTGGGCGGGGCCGGGGGCGGGGCGTCCTGGCCGCCTGGGGCTGCGCCAGCCGCGGGCGGGAGGCGGCGGCGGCGGCGGCGGCAGCGGCGCGGGTGCAGCGGCGCGGGGATTGGCTGCGGCGGGCGGAGACGTCAGGCTCCCGCGGCCTCAGCGGCCGCCCGGCTCGGCGCGGCGCAGTCGGTTCGAGTGCCCGCGGCTGTGAGGAGGTGCCCTCGGCCGTTCCACCTTCCGCCGCCGTCGCCGGGCTGCGCCGCTCGAGCCGGGACGCGCCTCCGCGCTCCTCGCCGCCTCCACCCCCGCGGCAGCCGCTCCCCTCGCCCTCGGCGCGCCCACCATGACGAAGAAAGACAAGAAGTCCTTCCACCAGAGCCTGGCCGAGTGGAAGCTCTTCATCTACAACCCGACCACCGGAGCGTTCCTGGGGCGCACCGCCAAGAGCTGGGGTGAGCGGGCGGCGGTTGGGCGCCCGAGGCCGGCCGCGGTCCGGGAGGTGCCGGGCGGGGTCGGATGGGGAAGGAAAAAGCGGGAGGCGGCGGCTCCTCCTTGCGCGGGGGGCCCCCCGGAGCCGCCTTCGCCGCCCGCAGCGGTCTTCGCCTCGGGCCTCCAGACTCTGAACCGGGCTGTGGCGGAGCGCGCGGCCCATTCATTTCTCGCGGGACGGGAGGGCCGTCGCCCGCGGCCGAGGCTGCGGAACCGCGGGCAGCCCCGGCCCTTACCGCGCCGGCGTCTTCCTCCCGGCCCAGAGCGCACGTGCTGCCCGGGCCTGGCGGCGCCGGAAGCCGGGGACCCCGGCCCGGAGCCGAGCCCGGAGCGTGCGGGGGGCCGAGCGCCCGGGCCTCCTTTGTACGGAGCGCGCCGGCCGGCCGGGAGAGGCCCTGGAGGAGGCGCCAGCGGCGCCGAGCGGTTCGGGGAAGCCAGCCCCTGCCCCACGCCCGCGGAGAGGAAATTTCCACTCCCGCCGCTATCTTGTGACTCCGCGCCGCCACCCGACCGAGGGTGCGAGGGAGTGTGAGTGTGTGGGTCGCATGCATGCCGCGGTGCGTTAATGAATCACTTACGTGCATCGTCCACGGAAATGCACTTGAATTTGGACAGTGAAAAGACACTTATTCCCTTTTTTTTTTTTTTTTTTTTAATTACGGGGGTTTTCTTTCTTAGAAAAACTGCTTCTTTGGGGGAAAGTAAATCCTATCTGAATGGCACAATGTTTTCCCGTGCCTACAAAACGTGTGATGGTTGTCTGTGTTAGCAGTTTTTCTAGGCATGAGTTCTTTGTTTTAAAAGAAATACTTAAACCATTCACCAGGGTAGTGCTGCTCTAGGGTGCCTCTTTTTTTTTTTTTCCCCCCGAAAAAATTAATCAAGTAAACGAATTTTACTCTTTGTGGGCCTTTTGGAAAATATTTTGTAAGTGGTTCTTGACAGATCTTTTTTTTTTCCCCCCTGAGTGAGAATAAATTTCTAGAGTTGAGAACTATTTGGGCCCGTTTTTTAAGAGAAGCATGAAGAGAGTAAATCAGGCATGGCTTAGAAAATAAACTGTTGCTGCTGGCTGAAATCGGCGCCTCCAGAGCGGATGGAAAAGATGGCTTAGGTCCTATCGCCAGCCGAAAGGGGCCTTGGAGGTTTGTTAGCCCAACCCCCACGTTAGAGGAGAAAAAAAAAGAGAGAGAGAGAGATCTGGGGAGGTTGTGATTTTGCTTTGTGTAAAATTACATATTCCACAGAGCCAAGAAAAGAACCCAATTCTCCTTTAATCCCAGTCCAGCGGTTGTATTATTTTACAGATGCCTTGCCTAACTGCATGGTGATCACTCACAATTTTTATTTAAATGGCTGTCTTTTGGGAACCCAGTAGTGTTATGAGGAAATATATCTTGCATCTAGAGTTAAATGGGGGTGGGGAAGTGAACAATTATTGTTTCTAGAGTCTAGTAACTTTTGCTGAAGGAATTTTTGAGAGGGATTAGTTTTTGTAAATTAACTTCCTTCCTCCTTTCCTCATCGCCTTCCCATTTCCAGTGATAAGTATCTTCACTTTAGTGTTAGCATGACTTTTCTTCTCCTTATATCTAACCTTTGTGTTATTAGATACTGAGTAGAGAGTTATTTGTATATGCATTTAAATAGATGACATGAACAAATTATCAAAAGATAGGGCATTCTATAAGGGCAGTGGTAGCAGTACAAGTCAAGTTGGGGTTAGTTTTAACAGGATGAGGGCATGACCTTTTTTCAAAATTGAAAATATAAGTATTATGGTGGTCAACAAACAGCAAATTTCTGTTTATTGTAGTCATAGTATGCCAGTGCAGAATGGCATAAATAGATGACAATTATCCATATTATCCAGTTATCTCAGTTTAAGGGCATCCCTCCAAGCGGGGAGTGGTGTGTGGAGGTTGAAATCCACACTCCGCTCACCAGGCTGTGTGCCCTGGAGAAAGGAGGTATCTTGTTCCAGTTTTCAGAGAGGCATGTGTGAGCTAGCTGATCTCATCACCCCAGAGTTGCCCATTATTAGTATTTAGGTGTGTAACTGGGCAGAGTTGAGAAATGTTTGTAACATTTTTTTAACAAAAATACACGATAGTGTTTTATAATCTTTTGAGTATATTGTGGTCATCTTCCCATGTTAATAAAGATCTTTATCACCATTTTTAATAGCCTACTAGTGTTCTATTGTATAGTTCAGGGGTGGGGAACCTTTTTTCTGCCAAGGGCCATTTGGATATTTATAACAACATTTGAGGGCCATACAAAGTTATCAACTTAAAAACTAGCCTTCTATGTTTGGTCAAACATTTAATTAACTCACCCCGAATGCCTTGGCAGGGCTAGACCAAATCGTGGGCCTTATACGGCTCTTGGGCTAGGCATTTCCCATCCCTGGTATAGTTAGATGTATTGTGATTTTTTTAACAAGTTTATTAATATGTGTACATCATGTATGTATAGGAGATACGCAGGGGAAAATAAGTGACTCCTGATTTTTATTTATTTATTATTTATTTATTTTTAATTTAAACTAGTGCATTAGTGTATGTACTGGTCCTTCCTCCTATTCCCTTTATCTTTGTGTGTACATGTTAACAAACGTATTTCCTTGAGATATTTGTGTTGGTGGAATATCTAGGACAAGTATAATATATGTAACTTTTGCATTTTGAAAACAAGTTAAACTTTTTAAGAAAAAAACTCATTTGTGCAAAATTTTTTCTACTTGCT